TGTTCATCACAAGATTTAACAAGATGCATGCCAAAATGAGGAGTGTTCTTGATGTACCATAGAATCCTTTTAACGGTAACTCAGTGAGTCTCACATGGCTGATGCATGAATTGGCAAACTTGATTCACAACATATGTAAGATCTGAGCGTGTGATGGTCAGGGGCGGAGCCAGAATTTTATTTCAGAGGGGGCACAATGCACTTGTTAAAAAAAAAAAAAATGACAAATAGGAAGTATAATTTTTTTAAATCAAAAAGGCAAATAAGAAAAAAATAGTTGTAAAATAATATGCTAAATAAATACTGTAAAACAATATAGTTACAAATATAAGAATCAAAATATTAATTAATAATATTTTAATTAAATACAATCACAAATGTCATTAATAAAAGAAATAAGTTTAAAAAAATAGAAAAATACATAATTATACATAAGTGAAAAAAGAAATTTTTTTTGAAAAAGGAAACAAAAATTAGAAAAGGAAAAATATATTGTATACTTGGAGAAGGGATATATGTTACTTTTTTTTTTTTCAAAAGGAAATTATAAGAATTTGAAAATTTGAGGGGGGGCACTAATAAAAATTACCATGTAAGTATATGTATATATCAAAAATATGTACCTATATATAGTAGTTTAGAGCAAAGTGAGGAGGGGGGGGGGGGGCACGTGCCCCAGAGCCTTAATTGGCTCCGCCCCTGGTGATGGTGAGATATTGTAATGCACCAACGAGACTAAGATAGGATGTGGCATTTATAAGGTCACCAATATCATATAAGGATAATTTTGAACCTGCAACAACGGGTGATAAACACGGTTTAGTTAGAAGGAAATTAGCTTTCTTTAGAAGGCTGAGAGCATATTTTGTTTGACTCATTTGGATGTCACAAGAATCACGGTAAACTTCAATCCCCAGGAAGTAGTGTAATGACCCAAGGTCTTTAATCGCAAAGTTCTTGTGCAGTTTGGTGAGGACTGTTGAGATGAAAGCATTGCTGGAATCAGTGATGATAATAACGTCCACATAGACAAGGAGAATAGTGATATCATGGTCAGCATAGTGGAGAAACATAGATGCATCAGTTTTGCTTTGAACAAATCCGAGATCAAATAGTGCAGCACTAAAGCCATCAAACCATATTCTTGGTGCTTGTCGCCATCCATAAATGGATTTGTGAAGACGACAAACATGATTAGGAAAACCCTTGTTGATAAAAACGTGGTGGTTGCTTCATATAAACCATTTCATAAAGAATGCCATGTACGAAGGCATTTTTAACGTCAAGTTAACGAATAGGCCAACATCGATTTATGGCAAGAGGGAGGACAAGTCAAACAGTAAAGGTTTTAATAACATGGCTAAAAGTTTCATCAAAATCCAGCCCATATTGTTGATTGTAACCTTTTGCAACAAGTCTGGCCTTATGTCGTTCTATAGAGCCATCAACATGTCGTTTGATCTTATAAATCCATTTGCATTTGACAATATTCTGGGCTTGAGAAGCTGGACCAAGCGACCAAGTTCGTTGACGAATAAGGGCATTAAATGCATCAAGCATTGCAGCTTGCAAATGAGGTGATTTGGATGCTTCAGTATAACTTGTAGGCTCGTCAACAAGAGAAGGGACCACACTTTTGAGGCATATTGGCAGTTGGTGTTTGCTCACGTGACCTGTAAAAAGGTTCTTAGGTTGAAGAGTACTATCACGAAGTCGAGTCACCATGGGATGTACTGATCTGGATGGTTCTAATGGCGGTTGGGTTGAGTTAGGACATGGTAACGAGTCAACATGGTTTGTAGCACTAAGCTGTAAGGGTAAAGTATGTCGCCTGTGATAAGTGATGATAGGTTTTGGTGGCACTGTGGGAATGGGAATTGGTGGTATTATGTGAGCAGTTGGAGGTGTTGGTGGCAGTGTAGGAACGGTAATTGGTGTGACCGTGGTAACAGTTAGTGGTGTAGGTAACAACGATGGAGGTAGGAGCAAACCACGAGATGTAGGTAATGTAGGTTCAATTGGTGCAACCTAATCTTCAAGCAATATGAATGGCTTAAGAGGACCATTGACAAGTAGTTGAGTAAATGGGAACACATCTTCCTTGAACCGAACATTCGAGAGAAATATACTTTACCTGTTTGTTGGTCAAGGCACCGATAGCCTTTTGGTTGGTACACATGGCACCGATTTTGGAGAAAATTTGTCTTTCCTTGTATCGCTTAGGAAGGGAAAACATTGACACCCAAATGTGCAAAATGTAGCATAATCTGAAGGTCGATTGAAGAGCATCTCATAAGGTGACTTGTGTTGTAACCCGAGATAAGGTAATCTATTTATGAGGTAAACTGAATTAGAAAAGGCTTCCATCCAAAGTTTTCGTGGAAGGAAGGCATGATGACAAAGAACAAGACCATGTTCAACAATACGACGATGCTTGCGTTCTGCCTTGCCGTTTTGTGTTGAAGTATGAGGGCATGTAATACGATGTTCAACGCCACTATTAGTGAGAAGAGCTGCAAAAACTTTGTTAATATACTCCTTTCCTCCATCACTTTATAGTGGTGCAAAATTGATTTTCAACATGAAGCTTAAATTTGCAAAAGTAGTCAAAAGTTTCAGATTTTTTAATTAATGGATATATCCATGTATATCTAGAAAAATCATCTACAAAAATTAGATAATAATGAAAACCACCATAAGATAATTCAGGAGCAGGCCCCCACAATCTGAGTGAATAAGATGTAGAAGGGCAAGAGATTTTGTAGTGGACCTTAAAAAAGACAAGCGACAACTTTTATTAATGGAACAACTTAAGCAACTAGAAATACTATTGTTTCCAACAAAAACATGCATTTATTTCTAACTAAATAATCAAGAACATGTGATCCAGTGTGGCCCAAACTCTTATGCCAATTATCAAGAGAAGTATTCTTTCGAACCGTAGTTGCAATGACATTGGAAGAAGGAGAAGGATAATGGGGTTGTGCTTGTAGAGGAAATAGGGAGTCTATACTCTTGCCTTGGTGAAATACTCTCCCTATTTGTTGGTCCTTTATAGAGAAACCATCACGAGAAAAGAGAGGACACAATTATTATCATGGACAAAACAAGAAACAGAAAGTAAGTTTGCTGTTAAATGTGGCACATGTAGAGTGTCTTTTAACTTAAAATTAGAAGGGGTACAAATATGTAAATCGCCAATAGAATGTATAGGTAAGGTATTACCATTTGCGACCACAACTTGATCTGAACCAATATATGTTTGTCAGTTCACCATGTGTGAGTCGTCATGTGTCATGTGATTGGTAGCACCAGAATCTGGAAACCATGTGGGATCTAATGGAGAGGAGAAACTCATGGCAGAGAATGTTGCAGGAAGATCATCAAGTTGTTGTGCATAGTTATAGCGTTGGCGGCATGTGAATGCACCATGACCTCCCTTGCTGCAAATCTTGCAGATAAGAGGCGAATTGGTGTTGGAGTTTTGAGAGTAGGTTGGAGACCTGTTACCACGGCCACGATAAACGCCTCTATGAGTGCCATGATTGTGAGAGGAGTGATGCTGATTGTTATGAGTGTGATGCTGATTGTTACGCCATCTTCCTTGATTGGAAAAATTTCCATGATTACGGTTGTCAAACACGAAGAGAGCAGTAGTTTCACGACCTGGATTTAGTTTATGATAGATTTCGAATCGTTTCTCACGATTAAGAAGGCTGTAAAGTTCTTCAAATGAAGGAGAAACAGACATAGTCTGAACAGAATTGATTACAACATCATAGTCAAGATCGAGTCCGTCAAATGCACAACCAATCAAATCCTTACCGGTCATGGGTTGCTGAATAAGAGAAAGCTCATCTGAGAACATTCTGATACGATCCATATATTCAGGGATTGAAGAAGATCCTTTCCGAATATTGGGAAGTTCATGCTTGATATGCTAATACCTAGCATTTGTTTGAGACATGTAGGCACAATCTAAGGCTGCCCATGTACCATAAGAAGTCCTGTAACCCACAACCCGTGTGAGTACTTTAGGAGTTAACGTAGCATGTAGCCAGCTAAGAAGAATCCGATCTTTCTTCTTCCATTCAAGGTATTTTGGATTTGGAGCCACTGCAGAATTTTTGGAGATAGTTGTTGGTGGAGCTCTGATTGTGCCATCAACCATACTTAACATCTCAGTCCCATAAAGAATGGGGAGGAGTTGGCTCTTCCACAACAAATAATTTGATCTATCAAGCTTAATAGATGCTTGTGCCAAGTTTGTGATTCCTGGAATATGTGATGGAAGAAAGGGGAGTGATAGAGGTGAAGCATTTGTTGAAGTGGAGGAAGTTAAATCGGAGGCCATGAGATCAGATTGTGGTAGAAAGCAGAGAGGAATTTTGATCTAAAAAAAAAAACTCCAGGTATTTTAGGTTCTGTTACCAAGTGAAAAACTGAGAATGGATGAGAGAAGAAGATAATAATTTGAGAAATTTTCACCACACTGAAATGATAGTGTCTTATTGTGTATTTGTAGTTACAACGATAAGAGAGAGATGGAGAGATTTTCTCAACAATCTTATCTGTTTGTTGTTACAACAATAAGAGAGAGATGGAGAGATTCTCTCAACAAACCTATCTGAACTTCTCTCAACAAACCTATCTGGATTTCCCTTTGACTTGATTTTCTGGTTGATCCAATAAAGCAGGTTGATCCAATATATCATTAGCTAATCTCTTAACAACTTTATCAGAAAAAACAATTAAAAAAAAAAAAAAACGTTACGAGATGCATATGATGGTATCTTATAATGTTATTTTTTTTGATAGGTTTTGGCACTTTAGGTGTGTTAGATCACAGGATTCCAAATATTTAGTGCTGTCACACAATAATTTTGATCTGCATTGCAAATATTAATATGTGTGGATCTTGGACAAATAGTTGCTGTACTTATTGTTGGTTAAGCCATATATTGCTCGTTCTTGTGTTGATTTCTGTTTGGTTTATTTAGTCTTAGGTACCACGGCAACACCTCCAACTCCTAGTGGTGATTATGGAATTGCACTTGAACAACTTTCTTCAATGACCAGGGACCATAATTTTTCTTCATTCCATCATTATGGAGGGGCAAGTCAATTATGAACTTATGTTTTCAAATGCTATATATTATGTGGTCATATGTATAATTTACATATAGCAATTATCATGTGCAACAGGTCAAAGGGTTATCAGATATGTTGAAAACAAATCTGGAAACAGGAATTATTGGTGATGACGGCGAATTAGTAAAGCGAAGGAATGCTTTTGGATCAAATACATATCCTGTGAAAAAAGGGCGGAGTTTCTTGGTACATTAAAAATTGTCTATGCGGTGGTATTTTGTTATTTGCTATTATCTCAAGTCGGAGGTCTTTTTCTTTGACTGCTATTCATTTGTATGCCTCGTCTTACAGAGGTTCCTTTGGGAGGCTTGGCAAGATTTAACTCTTATTATCTTGATGGTAGCTGCAGCAGCATCATTAGTACTAGGAATAAAGACAGAGGTGAGTTTGGTCGTATGCATCTTCAATAATATCCAAAATGGATCTAGGGGTTCTTGATTGTTTTGCATGTTCCGAATACTCCTTTTTAAGTTTTATTATTCTTTTCCTGTTTTTCTTACTAGCCATGTCTCGTTGACACGTGACAAAATAATTTGGGATCTTAATTACTTCTCAAAGTTCATATGATGTGATCAATGAGATTGTGGCTTGTCATTCCTAAAATACAAAAGGAGAAATGATTGTTGCATCTGGTTGATTTCTCAGTTAGTATGTGCATGGAACCTCTAAACTGAGTGAATTGTCCATGTTAGACACCTCTGGACTTTGACTTGCCACAAAATTTTAATGAGACACCCAACTTTTTTCCCCCTCGTGCCATTCTCAATTTATATACTTCCAAACTCATTTTCTTAAGTGGTTGCCGTTTGGTTCTGTTGGATCCTTGAGAATGTAATTTTTTATGTAAGAATTATTGTAACATGATTGAATCGACCAAATTTCTATGTTTGCCATGGTAAATTAACTACTTGTAGTCTAATATCAGTACCTCAGTTAGCTTTAAAATAATTGAATGTCATATCATTTTTGTGATGGTTTGAAACGTAGGTGCTTGGCAAATAAGGCTAAAAAACTTACATGGTGTTGAATGTAAGTTTTGTAGTTTACTATTATTTTTTGAGATGTATTTTTTATTTTGAGTATAAGTGTGTTGGTGGGTGAGGGTTAATGAACAAGAGAATTGCTATTACATGTAAACAGGAAAATAACGTTTTTTGTTTAGGGCGGAGATTATGCTAATCGTGTGGGGGATAGATAAAACGGTTGTAGCAAATAACTAAAGATTCAACAGGGTCAGAGCCTCTTGAAGTGATGGTATCATTGGGTGGGGGATAGATAAAACGGTTGTAGCAAATAGCTGAAGATTCAACAGGGTCAGTGCCTCCTGAAGTGATGGTATCTTATCCTTAATTTCGAGTACCGTTTCCCTGTTATAGGCGAATGAGGTACCGTCATGGTAATTTATGTAATACTGTATGTTTCACATAACCTCGCCTCCAAGCCACAAATACTTCATCATCCCGTTGAGCTGTGTCGTAACTACATATCTCGAGGTGAGTAATTATAAATCAGCCATGTGAGCTTGAGTTGTACCGTATCTGTGTGCTTCAAGATGGACCATGACAAATCAGCTGCACATTGAGGGGTATACACTTGCTCAAATCTGATTTTCTTCCTCATCGAGCAAATTTTATTCAAAACCAAAAAACAAGACCACCAAGAGGGGAGACCCTACCAGCAGGCAACAGCCAACAGCCAACAGCCACCAAGCAATCATTATTATTTTTTCCCCCTAAATCTTTGTCCCAGCTTGGGCAGTGTACGAAGTCCAAAATGCTGCCTTTTGACATAGTTTTCAAGATGGTAGGAGTAGGCCACAGATGGAGATCTGGAGATCTCTCCCAATACAAAGGCCGGCTACAAGCTCCTACCATGGAGAGGAAGGATTTTTTGCAATAAGTGGCGTTAAATAAGGGCCCCTTTGGAGAAATTTCATGAGAATTAATGGCTGTGTCTCTCTGCAGCTGGATCAACCTGGAGATGGATGATTCTTCATACTCGCAGTTTGGACTCATGTCTTTTCATGGATGCCCTCGGCCATTATGACTTTGTGGGTACCAGTTCTGACTTTAGAAGCATAACATATTAACCATTGATGTACAAGCACTAACAACGCGAGCATGAATTAGGTCCTACTCCTACTACTCCTTCTCCGCCGTTCTTTCTGACATAATGTTCTAGATTATGTGGTCCTGATAGCCACACTGGGTTCAACTGTTGCTCTGCGCAAAAATGTGTAACAAGAGTACGATTGTAATAAATTCCAAAATTATAAGTTGAAGTATAAGAGAACACAATTGAAGCAAAAGAATGAGTAAAAGCAACAGCGTTCTGCATATGATATAGTAATTTCTTAAAAGGTTGTACTATCGCAATTTAGTTGCGAGGCTATTCTAGTGGCTGACTTTGGTTTATGTACCATTGTATTTTATATCTACTGTATGTTCGTCGAAAGACAGATGAGATTACAAAACCCCAATGAAGAAAAATATTTCAGGTTAATTCTTGCAATTTATGAACTGATCATAAATGTACGAGGGAAACTATAAATAACTTTAAGAATCTGACTTCTCAACTAAAAAGAATACAAGTTACTGGAGAAAAAATCATGAAAATAATTGGGAATTTTATCTGTTTAAATGAGAAAGGAAATAAAGTTCTCAAACTTTTAAATTTCAAAGTTTTTAGAAGGTTTTTTCTTCACCTTGGAAGCCCAATTCCACCAAGTGATTTCTGAAGTTTGGTTTTGGAGTTCCCCTAATATGGTCAAGGTGTCTGTTAGTGATAGAATTACTGATATGAATTAGTGGTCCAATATGATTCAAAGGTGCCTAATAGAATTATTCATGCTTCCTAAGGAATTCAGTGTAGGAGTATATAGCTGGATTGTCACAATGCAATATTGATATATGTCAGGTGATACCTAAAATTATATGTGCGCTTAAAGAAATGAGCTCTTTTAGATCTCGTATCAACACAAAAATCACTTTGTTTTCTGGCATGTTCAGATCCATATTTATTCACTTTCTTTTCTTTTTTTGTTACCCCCATTTTTCTCTCTTCATTGGTTTAAAAACTGTTGCTTAATCCTTGAATTTGTGATTGTCTTGGCCATTTGTTGCCTAGTTTCTCTTTGAATTGGGGTTTTACTCTCACAGGGTCTAAAAGAAGGTTGGTACGATGGGGGAAGCATTACCTTTGCTGTTCTTCTTGTTATATTTGTTACAGGTAATGTACCTTATGTTCATTCTTACCATCTTACTTAAATGTCTACTTGTTCCATCTAGTGACAATGATTATTTCTTGGATAGTATATAGAGTCTGTGTGAGTGAAGTCAAACCTTGTCTAGAAGCATCTCATAATATTTGAGGTACCTGAAAGGAGCAAAGGGTTTTGGGTTTGAGGCCTTTTGATCTGTTGTGCCCTTGGGCGATATGATCTTGTGATGTGGTGAAATAAGAAGCACAATGTAGGTGCATGATAGAGTGCTGGGATTTAATATGTAGTAATAGTTCATACAACTTGTGAAATAATGTGTTTTGTCTTTTATGTGATCGCCTTCTTTGCTGCCTCTGTTGAAGATTTTTTTATATAATTAAGTTGCCTTGTAAATTAATGAAAACCTGTATAATTAAAGATGACTATATAGTGAAGTTAAAGATGTCATCTTATTAGATATATGTTGAATAGTAAGATTGTTCTTGCTCATATGAACTTGAAATGAGCATCACGTGAAAGTGAATTTCATAGCATTTTATTCTGGTTTGGCATCATAAAGTGTCCCTGCGCCAGATGATCTATTAAGGTAGTGAATGTGCAAACATTTGCTATTGAAGTTGTATGCACAATGTCTTTTATGTATTTAGTGGTTCTTAAAATATTGGTGCAGTTGTTGCTCTTGTATGAAATATGATTGTATTGTGATAGAACCCAACTAATATAGCACAAGTTTTTTCTTTTTCCTATCTTTTTGTGTTAAATAGATCTGGACCTCTGGTCTTGGAGGATTGAAAAATTTATGATTTTTTTTTTCTTTTTTTCTTTTGGATTCGATTTAGAAAAGTGCTATCACTTGGGTTTTTCATAACTTAACTTTGAACCTTGAAACGCTACCCTATCCCTGTGCCCAAGTGCGTGATGCATCTTGTTTGATCATGACTTATGATTCGATGCAATGGCTTACTTGCTGTTTTACATGGACTCTCCTATCTTCCTTCACGTACCTGTATCAGCACAACACAATATGGGTGTGAGTACGGATGTGTGTCTGACACGAACCCCCAAATTGATATCCCAATCCTTCACTGTGATGATTGAAGAAGTAAACACTGAAAAGAGAAGAAACCCCCTTTTCTACCACATGCCATTTAATTAAAATCACAATTGAGTATATTCTTAAACAACATACATTTAACCATTTATATAACATATAATGAATGTGAATACATATTACGTGTCTACGTACTCGCATCCAAGTTTTTGGACATATTCCCCCATGTCCTAAGATTTGTGATTTAGGGAGGTCCTAAACTTAAGCACATACCCGCACCCGATAATTGTACTTGAGTCCATGTAACATAGGTTACTTGCTGATTTTGGCCTCTGTTGAGTTGAATAATGTTTTTTCCCTGTACTAATAGGATTTTTTTCTTTTTTGGGTTTTTTCAACAGCTATTAGTGATTATCGGCAGTCCCTCCAGTTCCAAAACTTAAATGAGGAAAAGCGAAATATTCATTTGGAGGTATGTATAACCTTGCATGTGCTATTATTCTATCTTTAATCTTGGGATGCTAAATTGTTATATTTATGTGGACATTTTGGCAGGTTGTTAGAGATGGTAGACGAGAAAATATTTCAATATATGATATTGTTGTTGGTGAAATTGTACCTCTTAAGATAGGTGATCAGGTGAGCTAGTTTAATAAGTGATTTTGATTTGTTGGACATGGAGTTTTGTTTTACCAACTGGGTTGCTACTTTCTTAACCCAGGTCCCTGCTGATGGAATCTTAATTACTGGCCATTCTCTTGCAATCGATGAATCCAGCATGACTGGGGAAAGCAAGATTGTAAGCTGGTTAGATTTTATTGTGAAGTATTTGAGATTATTGGTTGTACTTTTCTCATGTGTAATGTCATTTTGTAGGTTCGTAAGGATCAGAAAGCACCATTTTTGATGTCTGGTTGCAAGGTAGCAGATGGTGCTGGAACTATGCTGGTGAGATATGTTTAATATTTTATTTTACCTGATGTATGCAAGAAATTTTATATGTGACAGCATCATGTGCATTAATATTGGTTGTTTTATCATTACACTGTTGGCGAATCTGGTGATGGTGAGCACAGAGAAGTTGTAGTTGTCTTTGACCATATTACAGATTGTTTATATGATTTGAAAATGCTTTCATCTGAATCTGAAACCAAGCTGTAGTAAAAATTGGGCAGCAGATTGGTGTCAGGAGATACAATTGACTGCATTTTTTAGTTGTTTTTATTTGTCAAAATTGCTCTTGCTTTATGGTATATAAGAGTTGCTAACTCCTCTTTGCAAAAATCATACCACATCAAATTGGAAATTCTCACCTTATTGATCCTGTTGTTAGTTTACAGTTCGTAATTTAATTGTAATGAAAATTCATTTTATGCTTTTAACTTAATACTGTTGTGGTGTAACTTTTTTTTTAACCTTAAAAGAAAGTTGAATTTTCGTAAGTTTGTGATCAAACCTATTTATATCACAAGGTTTAGTTCCCTACTGCTGTTTTAATGTGAAAATATAATTAAATTTCACACTGCATTCAAGAAGAAAATTTTCAATTTTTTGATCCATAGGTAACTGGTGTGGGAATCAATACTGAATGGGGATTGTTGATGGCAAGTATATCAGAGGATACTGGTGAAGAAACTCCCTTGCAGGTCTCTTTCCTCCTGAATTATGTTGTTCTCAAATCAGTATTTACAGTTTGCAGATTGCATCATAAGGCTGTCTTGACCTATGTTAGGTACGCTTGAATGGAGTAGCAACTTTTATAGGCATAGTTGGGCTTGCTGTAGCTATTTTTGTGTTGGCTATCCTCTTGATCAGGTAAATTATATATTTTTTTATAAGCCACACCTTGTTATATGATTCACATGCCATTGGATCTCTAACATCCTGATTCAATTTTCCCAGATACTTTACTGGACATACAAAAAATTCTAATGGAACAGTCCAATTTATCCATGGGAAGACCAGTATTGGTGATGCAGTTGATGGAGCAATAAAAATTTTTACTATTGCTGTAAGTGTTGTTTTCTATATGTTTATTTCATCTACATTAATCTCCTTTCTTGACTAACAGCCAATTAATTTAGGTCACCATTGTGGTTGTTGCTGTCCCTGAAGGACTTCCTTTGGCTGTTACCTTAACGTAAGTATGAGTCAGGATTATCTATATTGTGACCAGCAATTGATTTTTCCTATTAATTTTATTGCATCTCAAATAATCTTTTACTTCAACTATGTGACAGCCTAGCTTACTCGATGAGAAAAATGATGGCAGACAAGGCCTTGGTATGTGCCATTGTTATTCTTTCTTAAAAATTTGTAGTTCTGTAGCATCTGTATTAAAATATTGGCTCTGTAAGACCTTATGGTTTTATATATGAAGTTGTTTGACAGCAAGTGATGTGCAGGTGCGGAGGCTTTCAGCTTGTGAAACTATGGGCTCTGCAACAACTATTTGCAGCGATAAAACTGGAACATTGACCCTTAATCAAGTGATTTTTCTGTTTGGAACAACTTTTACACATTCTTATTGCTTCTTTTTCCTTCTTTGTTCTGCTGGAAGTGTGTTTTTGAAGTCTTTAGGAATTTATTTTATTTGGAAATTTTGCCAATTGGTTAAAAACCTTGATATACCATATTTTGAATCGTGATGAAATTGTCTGTTGTCTCAGATGACCGTAGTTGGGACTTATGTTGGAACAGAGAAGATTGATCAACCTGAAGACATCTCACAGTTGGATGCTGTGGTTTCCTCTCTTCTAAATGAGGGGATTGCACAGAATACCACAGGCAGTGTTTTTCCCGCTAAGGTGGTCACTCTCTCTCTCTCTCTCTCTCCCCCTTCCTCTCTCTCTGATTGCTAAGAGGAAAGAGGAGGGGAGTCGGTTACAAATCTCAGTTGGTACTTCCTTGAATTCGTTCAAATGAGTGAATAGTGATATTATAATATTGCTCTTTTTCTAATGTCCTTTTTGCTCAAAGAATAGAGTAAGCATGAAAGGACTTTAATAGAAGTAGTCTATGTTCAACTTCTTTGGTCGTCTTTGAAAAATATATAATCGTCCTTTCCTAAGGAGTCAATAAAGATGGATTGATACTGAATATGCAATAAAGTTCTGTTGAATTCCATAGTCTCTTTTGTGCTCATCCCTGATTATCTTCATAAGTTGTAGTGCTTTTGTGGGAGGATTCTAATTTTGATTCTTAAGCATTTTTTTTTCCTCATCTCATCCATTGATTCTTGTGTTTTTCGATTGACCTGGTGTTTGTCCATTACTGACAAGAATTCTGGTTGACTATCTGTCTCTGATTGTATCTATAATGCTAGGATGGTGGAGGGATAGAGGTTTCTGGGTCTCCCACAGAAAAAGCTATCCTTCATTGGGGCATCAAGGTATCTCCTTTTTAGTATTTTAGTGTTTACTCTTCTTCTTATTTTATTTATTTTATTATTTTTATGCACTGAAATTGATTGATATTGTTATTTTTTGTTTTGCAGTTGGGGATGAAGTTTGATGCTATCAGATCAGAATCTACACTTTTCCATGTTTCTCCTTTTAATTCTGAGAAAAAGCGGGGTGGTGTCGCTCTGAAACGGGTAATGGATTCATTTTTGTGATTTTAATGCTTTTACATTGGTGATTTCTAAATCTGATGACTTTTTTCTGTCTGCGTCTGAAGATTTTAAAATCTGATTACTTAGACCTTATAGAGTTAATTATTTGTTGTACACATATAGTAGTTATAAGATTGCAATGCAGCAATAAAGAGTACCATCTTAGAAACGTAACGGTGAGAACCTTGTCTGTTGAAACACACTGGTTTAGATATCTATAAGCCAATAATTAGTTTCGGAACTAGGATATTGTACATAGAAGTTTTTTTTTTTTTTTTTTGCCCTTTCTTTAATCGGGTGGGGGAAAGGAAGATGCTGGTGTTGTCTTAGATTGGAACATGTTGTTTGCATGTAAGGAAACTTTGTGTAAAATTTACACATGTTTGGATGCAAATCAACACTGTTTTCACTATGTTCACAAAAGGTTCTTAAGAATACCCATGGAACAAAGCTTTAAAACATTTAGTCAGTGACTGTTGTGGAAGAGTTGATTTGGATGAAAACGCTAGCTCATTTGAACCCATTTTGTAAATATTTGCTTGAATACCTTTTTGTTGTGGATGTAAGAACATATAGATTTGATCAATGCCACATTACAGGGATGAAGTTCTGTCAATTTTGTATAATGGCCTATATCAGTTAGATTTCTTGTGTTGCTTAAATGGATAAACTTTAGAATCTTTGACTTGTGTTGGGTAATTGGCGATTCTTGATAAGCATTGCCGACTGAAAATACCAAAAAGGGAATAAAAGAAAGGAGCAGCAAAAACCTTTTATTTTTTATTTTAAATTTTTTTTTTTATTCAGATGTTTTCTTTTACACGAGTTACATTAAAGTAAATTGGTGCTGTTACAAACTCTTAATTCATCATGAAATTCAATGGTTCATACATGTTGCTTTAAATTAGAAAAGAATAACTATCAGATGCAGTACTCGATAAGACAACCTAGAGTAGATTATTGCTTAAATAAAAAAATGAAAAGGGAAAATATATTTTTGGGTGTAGGCAGTTAGCTCTTGGGCAGATTTTGTTACAGCTCCGTAGAATGCACGTGCTTTCTGGATTGGATCAAACCTTGAAGTATGTAAACTCGGTCCTTTTAATCAGGGCTTCAGTTTTAATGGGAGGTTGGGTTAGGCATAGTGGGTTGGCTATATACAGGCTGTGTCAGATGGACTTGATACATATTACAAGTGCGGGTACATAATGCATATATAGGCTTCAAATATATGTGATTCAAATATGTCAGGATAAGAGGGCATAACAGAATTATCAAAATGTTTGATTTTGAATTTCCCATCCTTGTTGGGATATTGTTTTAAAATACTACTGTTGCTTCTTAGTGATGTTCGTGTATTTTATGCTCTTTATATAGAAGCAGTGATGGACATTCTGTCGACTTCTAAAGTGTCTGTTACCCAATTAGCTGGACTTGTGCAACTTCCCATGTTTTTTTTCAAAACTGTCCATGATAATCATCTGATCAGGTGTCAAAGCAATGATCAATCTGATTGGTCTTCATTTTCATTTTGATGCAGCCTGACTCTCAAGTTTGTATACATTGGAAGGGAGCAGCTGAAATAATTCTGGCCTCGTGTACGGGATATCTTGACACAACTGGTTGTTTGCATTCCATTGATAAGGATAAGGTCAAATAATAAGCCATGGTTCTCTAGCTGAAATGAAGAAAATGCTATGATAAGTTCTGATGAAAAATTAGTAAAGGACATATATCAGGAACTACAAAAAATTGAGTTTGAAAAACATGAACTTAGGAGGAATCTGAGCTGAGCGAGTCTAGCAATTATTTTATGTATATGACCAACATCTTTCTGTACAAAAATAGAATAGATCCATAGAGCTTTAATTTTATTCAAACTCCAGATGGTGTTTTCGACTCTTTCTGCAGATGTTTTTCAAGGAAGCTATCGATGATATGGCTGCAAAAAGCTTGCGCTGTGTTGCCATTGCATACAGATCATATGAGAAGGACAAAGTTCCTGCTGGTGAAGAACAACTAGCACAATGGGTTTTACCTGAGGATGACCTTGTTTTGTTAGCTATTGTTGGTATAAAGGTATACAGCATAAAACAAATATGTTCTTCCTGCATGTTGTGAGCATTTAATTTTGAATTTGTCCGTTGTGTTTAGATTAAATTATTAAATGTCATTTCAATAGTTTTTATTGATCATAAATTTCATTTTCTTTTCCCATATGATGGTAAAAGTCCCAATTTAGCTCATATGTGTATTTGTTTGCAGGATCCTTGTCGTCCAGGTGTCAGAGATGCTGTGAAACTATGCACACATGCTGGTGTTGAGGTAATAACTTACATCTAATAAATTTGTGGCTAGTTATGTAAGCATATGCAGACGGTGGCTACCGTATGATTCACTGGCTCAGCATGTTCTGCGTTAACATGCTGAGATCTTTGGTGGTTTACTGAAGGGTACATGCTGTTGGAATGAACTATACATTTTCTCGTCCTCCATCTTTTTTGGAAAGAAATGATGAGATTAAAAAGTCTGTTGCTTCCATCTCTAACTTTTGATCAATGCTATGTACTTAGTCTCTGGTTTAGGCAAATTCCTGGTCTTGAGTTTATCGGTAACTCTTTTTGGTCATATGGCTGCAGAATTTTCAGTAGCTACAGGGTTGGAATACGCTATTTACTTCTAATAGAACACATGTGGGCCTTATTGGTTGGGTTATGTAAAACATTGGCAATGAGTTGCCAATTATTGAATAGCTTATACTGATAAAAGTGCACATATACAAACTAGGAAGCCAACTGTGTTTGGAGAATCCAAAGCAGCAAAGTCCTTTGTCTCAAAATTATGAAGCACTGACTATGTTGGATGCGTGTTAAACACCGACATTTCGTGGATACTTGCGGACACATGTCCAACATTACATGGACGTGTCCGTGATTTGGAAATGAATTTCATTATTTTGGACTCTTATCCAACATATTCTGGACACTTAGCCGATACATCATGGACACTTGCCCAACAAAAGTCTTATATAACACAAGCAAATCTAAGAGTAGCCACCTACAAGCTTGAAAACTGTTGAAATATATAAAAACAATATGATTACACCTTAAAGGTGTCCAATTTTTTTAGAATAATTGACATTATACACATGGTTACTGCAAGTCAAGCATTCAATGAAACCTGGCATATAGAATATAATAATTTTTACAACATTTTTATAGTTTCATCTTCTAAATTATATAACTCTTAGTATATAAATTAAAAATTAATCAAAGTTCAAAATGTCTTAGTCAAATAGATGTATATAAATAAAATTTTATATTTATTCACAGTGTCCGTAGCCTACTTTTTAGGATTTGGCATGTCGGCGTATACGAGTGCATCTTTCTTTCTGTGTTTGTGCTACTTAGGTTTTAAAAGTTCTTTTGGTTGTCATGATATTGGTTGATTGAATCAGTAGTGCCCTGTAGACTTGAGCTATCCTTCTTTCTTAGTTGGCTTATTCGACTTAGGCCTTGGGTTTAAGGAATACACTTTCTGAGCCTCACGCCCTGTAGGTTGTAGCTATGCTTCTTTCGTAGTAGGCTTATTCAACTTAGGCCTTGTGTTTAAGGAATACACATACTGAGGCTCATACCCCAAATGTGTGAGGATGACATGCAGTGGAGCGTCGTAACTTGAGGGTCTTCTTGTGTCTAAGGCATTGACTGGATTGGAATGCATGAGGTGCTCATCTATGCTTGTCATCCGACTGTACCACCAATTTCACATCTGAGAGAGAGGAGAAAAGCAGGGGGGAGGTTATGTTTACTTGTGTACTGACCCCTAAAAAATGGTTTTTTTTTATAAAGTTCCATAGTCTTTGTAGATTTGCTCAACTCTTTAATGTCGTTTGATGACTGCTGCATTCTATACATTTGTATATGGTTTTTCTCTAGATAAACTATAATGTGGTCCTAGATGATTGCATATCATGGAGTGTCGAACATATGACTTCTTATAATTTTTCTACATAAAATAATCTTTTTCATTGATGATTTTTTGAACTTCTTTTCAAGCTAGTTCTAGGTTTTCTTACCGTATGATTGTGGTTAGGTCAGAAAAGAATTGCAAATCTGAAGGTTTATTGGTTTATTGAGTAAGAAGTAGAAAATATTGGTTCTACAGTGAAAGCATCACTTATAATGGGAATTTATTTAATTGAGGAATGCAACTTATTACTGCTTGAGGAAAATTACATTTGTAGGGGGTAGTATGCTATTTACTTATGATAAAAGTGATGACAAGGACCATACATCTGTGAACTAATAGGTACGCATGGTCACTGGAGATAATCTTAAAACAGCAAAAGCTATTGCTATGGACTGCGGAATACTGGGTTCAGATGCAGATGCTAATGAGCACGTTATTATGGAAGGAAGGACATTCCGTGCATTATCTGAGAATGAAAGAGAACAAGTTGCAAAGTCAATATTGGTATATTTTTTAATAATATGAAATTATTATTAGATGTGTTAGCAATAACTTATTCCTTGTTAAAAAATTCTAGTATAAGTTACTTGTTATTGGGCCCATTTATTAGTAAGTTACTGAGTCATGATGTATAGGTGATGGGAAGGTCTTCTCCTAGTGACAAGCTTTTATTCGTGCAAGCACTGCGTAAAATAGGGGAAGTTGTTGCTGTAACTGGAGATGGAACTAATGATGCTCCCGCACTTCATGAGGTTTGACTTTCTTATTAAGTTTTTATTTTTCTCTCTAATGAATTCTGTGAGTTTGACATTTAGGAATACCTCTGGCCTTTCCGCCTTGTTTTAGATGCTATAGTTGGAAGCTATTGACATGGAGATCTCCTACATCCAGTGATCTGCAAGAATGCCACATATCCCTGTATGTGTGGGCTTCTGTGTCCTTGGACTGCACTTCTTATAAGTGACTAAACAACGAAGAGGGGTTAATTTTGTAATAGTTTCCATTGCAAAAATTGACAATTCAAAGGTTCTTTCACACATTTACCCGGGTAGAGAAACATGGCTTGGGCTCATGCAGACACATTTCATGTCGACAAGTGCCTTCATGCTAATAATTGTTTGGAACTAGTGTCGTTATCTTAAATTGTATAACAAAACTAAATATGCTATCCTTGGTAAATATATGTTGCAATGAAGTTTTAACTGGCCAGTTCACAATAGGGGGTCTTAGCTCCTAGGTGGATGCAGCCTTTCTGTTACCTCTTATGCAGCTTGGATTTGAATATTGTGTTATGCTGTTAACTTGCTTGGCATTTCTGTTTAGTTACATTTGCAAAGATTTAAAACCTACTGTAGAAGTTGTAGCTTATTGAATTCATGCCTTTTTGTGTTTTAGGCAGATATAGGTCTTTCCATGGGCATCCAAGGAACTGAAGTTGCAAAAGAAAGCTCTGACATCATTATCTTGGATGACAATTTCGCTTCAGTTGTAAAGGTTTGTGTGATCAGGTCATTCATACAATAAAATTGTGAAAACTGTTCTCAGTGAATAGTCTTTGTGTTTTATATCCTTCTTTTTAGGTTATTACCTTATTTATTATATTCGTTCTAGAATTACTTCAAAAGTGTACGATGTTTTACGCTGTACACCTTAAAGGTTAGCCTTGCTTTATGGGACAACAGAACTTATTTGCCTCTACTTTTCTTGCCTGATAAAGCAATTTACAAGGATTAAAGTGTGAAAATGGGCATATGAACTGTGACTTGATGAAATGCACTTGATGCAGATAATAAGACTCTGTTGACTAACAACGATGACAGTTTCAACCTAGTGTTAAGCTTCTGGCAACTTTGTTACATATATTCTGTATATATATGCCTACACAATGTTGTATAATTAGCGATACCAAATAAAACTGTATTCTTGCAGATGGGATTGCATGTATACTTTGTTTTTCTTTGTGAACTGAACCCACCAATTGTTTAGTATAGTTTGTGTGGTCTCTTGGATCACTTTTGCTGAATAGGATGATTATGAATTTCAGCCTGCTCTGTTATGATATTGAATTGGAAGTGGAAACTGGATGTAAAGGCTGAAAAAATTGTTGCTTGGAATGGGAAATGGATTATTTTTTTATTGGGCTCTGAAATGTTGGTTGTTTAGATGGTATACACACAATATGTATATATGAATGAGTAGGCATGGCCTTCGGTGATTCCCATTGTTTCCTTTATTTATTTTGTGGCACTTAAAAAGTGAATATTCCAGGACTATGCCCCCCTTCATGGGTGAGGTATGTCTCCCATGTTCATGGAGATGTTCTTGAAGTGCATAATTGTAATTCTCTTTTCTTTTATTTTTTTCTTTATCTACATTCCGTGGCCGGGGGTTATAAAATGCTATATGGTTTTCCCAAAGAGGATGGTGATCAAATCTGGTTTGTTTTCCATATGTTTTCCCTCTACTTGTAGTTTGTTTTGGTTGTGTTTGGAGAAGAGGCTATTTTAAATGTTAGAACCACCTTCAGTTGGTGTCATCATGAGTAAATTTGTTTCGTATAGGTTGTTCGTTGGGGCCGTTCTGTATATGCAAATATTCAAAAATTTATCCAGTTCCAGCTCACTGTTAACGTTGCAGCTCTAATAATTAATGTTGTGGCAGCAGTTTCCTCTGGCACTGTTCCTTTAAATGCAGTGCAGGTTAATAGCTCTCTGACTCTCTCTCTCACTCAAAGTTCATGAACCATTTTATTTTGTTGTTAATACAGTTTTAAATATATTGTATGTATTGAAATGCGTCTGATTAGGAATCATGGAGATAGGTGTGGCCCAGTATGTCCTATATAAATTTTGGGCCCGTTTAATTTGAGGTTTCTGTATTTATTACCCAACAGACACCAGCCCCTGAAGAAAAAAATAAAATAAACATAAAAATAATAAAATTGATGGTGATAATAATAATAACAACAAGGGAGATGATATCCACTCTCCATTTTTCACCACTTACCCTGTTTCCTTTTCTAAAAAAGAAAATGACACAGTGTCCCTCAAAAACACACTCACACTAAACTATTATTCCAAAAAGTACTCATGCCCTCTACTTGTGAAAGATAATCTTGTCAGTTCATTTTTAAAAAATAATAAAAAATTAGTGGAGATGCAAGTGGAGAAATTGGATTTTTTTAATATCATCTTTGTAATCAAAGTTATAATTGTAATTATGAATTTATAATAATATTTATCATTCAGCATTTGAATTGCACAAAATTACGGTGAAGAATTCAGAACATTATTTATCTTTAGACGGTTACTTTTGTGAAAAGGAAAGAAAAGAAAGTAAAATTTATTACCTTAAAGAAAAGAGATGAAAATTTCATTAAATTCAAGTATTCGGTGGGTCGATTTTTTATGAAATATTCTTCTTGAACAGCTTCTCTGGGTTAATCTCATCATGGATACTCTTGGAGCACTGGCATTGGCTACTGAACCACCGACTGATCATCTTATGGATAGATCTCCTGTTGGTCGAAGGTTAGAACTTGTGGAGCTGGCAGTATATGTATATTTTGCGTACAAATCTCAAAGTTCTATCTGCTTATAATTTAAATCGTAAAGTGGCTTTTTGTTCTCAACTTATCATAATATGTCATGGATAATACTCGACCAACATCCTCGCTTTCTGATGTTGATATGAGTTCCTTACATTCCTTCTTTCTATAGAAAGGCCACAGGACCAATGCATGCGAGTGGCATTTCTCTTATCCCAAGAAACATGGGGGAGGGGCTGGAATTGTCAATCTAAGTTTTGATTCAACCATGATAATCCCCATTCAAAAGTGCTCACGAGTGCCAAGTTTGTGGACAAATTTTGATAATATATGAATTAAACACCATGCCATATACCAGAATGTTTGTGGCGTAACAGATAGGATAACTTGTACGATGTTAAAGACATTTTTCCTTGAAGTGTGGTTTCTTTGTTGAATTCCCTTCAAATGCAAGGTTTGATAGGTTATTTACATTTTGCTATACGAATAACATGTAGTTTTGAATGGCAAACTTATGCAAATTTGACGTTTCACTACAATTTCGTGAAGCTTCTTTATGGTTGACTATTTGTGACTTTGTTTTACTGGATTTAAGATGAATTTGAACCTCATTTTGTGGGAAGTTTAGTATATATACATATTTCAATCATATCTGAAAACAGTGGAGAGTAGGAGTTAGTTATAAGTTGAAGTATAAACCCTTGGATGCAACATACATTTGCAATATTAACAGGGGTAACTTGCTGTTCCATGTCATTCATCCTATGTGATGATATTTAAAGCTTTGTGGCATCCAAAATGTTGTTTTTAGATTTGCCGTGGCTGAATCAGCTGTTTCACTTAGAGTATACAAGGATCCCCTACTCCCCCCCAAGAAAGAGAATCCACAGTTAGAAACTTCTTGTTGAATTGGATAAAATAGAGAAGTATTTTATTAAGCAAGGAATATTTGTATTGTGGAGTCCCTATCTGATAGATTGTGCTTCCTCAGTAAAATTTCAGAGAGAACTTGCATTTAATGCTTGTATAATTACCACATTGGTACTATTAAAAAAAAAAAAAAAAAATTAAGTGTTTTGTGGTTTGGGATTGTTTTGCTGGCCAAGATTATTGTGTCAAAATTATCTTTTTTTGCTAATTTTCAGAACATCACCATTCACTACCTTAAAGTAGGAATTTCAACATGTAAATGAGTATATGATAGTTATGATTATATTCTTTTTAATTTTCAGGGAACCTCTTATAACAAATATCATGTGGAGGAACTTAATTATACAGGTTATTGCAAATCAAAATTACCTTATTTTTCTCTGGGGGACTTTTTTGTTTTTATTTTTGAGTAAGCTGGGTATCTGTTCCACCTTCTTTTACTGTTCTCTCATAGATTTGTACTTTGCAGGCTTTATATCAAGTTATTGTCCTCCTTGTTCTCAACTTTTGTGGCACAAGTATTCTCAACTTGAAGCATGACAGCACAAAACATGCTAATGATGTAAAGAATACTTTTATATTCAATACATTTGTACTCTGTCAGGTAAGTCTCCAAGTGAAGTTGAAAAAGATAAATGTCCTTATTGGAATTACTGATACTCAACTGCAAAGTTCAAAAGTGATAACTAGTTGAATTACAGATATTCAATGAGTTCAATTCAAGAAAGCCCGATGAATTTAATGTCTTTAGTGGAGTTACCAGAAACCGTCTTTTTATGGGGATAGTAGGAACAACCTTTGTTCTTCAGGTGAGAGGTTTTACATTTTTTACCCTCATTCCTTCAGGGGGTGTGATTATCTTGCAATTTATTGATATTAATAATGCTGGTCCTTTTGTTATACAATAGATAATTATCATCGAATTCCTTGGGCACTTCACCTCAACAGTAAGGCTTGACTTGAAGCTATGGTTTGTTTCGCTTCTCATTGGCCTTTTAAGGTAGGCTCATTTGCTTGTATTGCTGGTATCTATAACATAGAAAATTAGTACAACTCTCTTTCTGAAATAGCCTCTATAATGTATGTGTGGCTTTTTACGACTTTATGGTCTCACAATCAATGTTGGTCTCATGCAAATAATCAATAATCAGGTTATAATATGTCTCAAAACCTAAAATTTCCGATGTTACATGACTCTTATAATTGTGAGGTACCTTTTCGACACACTTAAGAGTCTGGGTGTGGAATATTGCATCTTGCATGTCTGGTTGGACATGCATTTAGCCAGTATATCCGATCTAAAGTTTATTATATATAATTGTAAATAAAGATCTGATATTATTTTTCTTTTGTTGCATTATTGCTACTAAATGAGTGAAATGCCATTGTTGAATATTCTATGTTACTTAAAAGTACTTTTTTGTAAGAAAAAAGATATAAATATGTAGTTGTATCTCCATATCCTTGAGTTTGAGGATTTGATAAACTTTACACCTAGACACGATACTTACATCTGACTGTACGTACAGAATCAAATGTAATACAAAAAATTTCTCCATGTGCAGTGTGAATCATTTGACAAATGTCTGAAGTTGGCTTTTTTTGGATTGATCCAAAATCAAATATGTGTCAAAGTGCTTGAGAGCTGGCCTCATTTTCACTTAAATTGATTAATTACTTTCATAGGATTCTTAGATTATCATTAATTATCATTATCCTCTTACAGCTGGCCCCTTGCTGCCATTGGGAAACTAATACCAGTTCCAAAGACTCCCCTTGCCAAGTTATTCACGAAGCCACATCGGCGATAGGTAGCTGCTCGTACTGCATAACTTCCAGGATTGCATGTAGTAAGCAAGGAGCCTTCCTAGAGATTTTTACTCTTAGTTGTACACAGCTGACAAATGAGGACTTAGCAACTGACTCTAACAGCTTGCTTCGCCTAGGTTACTTTGTAGTTTGTACATTTTTTTAGTTGTACACCTTGCTTTGCGGCTTGTAACCATTGCTGTACATTTTAATCAGAAAGTTTAGAAGAGGTGTTAGAAGACATTCATCTACATTTTTTGTGGTAAATTTTTTCCCGGGTTTTCCTCTCTGGCTGACCTTGTGTTTCATTTTTTTGGATAAATAAATCAATTAATAAAAATAGAGGAAAGTACAAGGAAAATAAAACTATGCCCAAACACGGCACAAAGCCAAAGCAGAGCACAGAAACACAAAAACAGGGACAAATCCCACAACCCAACAACCTAGCTAACTGCTCCATCACCAGCAAGAGCCAGAGATACAACAGAAGCAGGAAACAAAGCAAACCAGAAAATCAAGAAGACGAGGCATGCTCTTCCTAAAAAATTGAGCTCGGAAGACTGCACGCGGCTGCAATCCTTCTACCTTCATTGTTATTGGGAAAATTGATAGACAAGAGGCGAATGCTAACATTGCCATCAATCAATTTGGCAATAACATCCACGAAAGAAGCTTTGATAGAGAAGGAGCGGTTATTCCTTTCATTCCAAATAAAGTAAACACATCCAGCAAAACAGAGCCGAAAAGCCATGCCCACAAATGACTTTGAGTTGGGACTCCATATAGAGCAAAACCAATTGGCAATAGAGTTAATTTGGTGGTCACCATATTACACACACCACATTTATGTTGGAAGTACTGCCATATTCGGATTGAGAATGCACATCTGAAGAAGAGGTGCTCATGAGATTCCAATTCCGCAGAGCAGAGGGAGCAATTCCTGGAGCTGTCACTTCCATTCATGCTGGGTCTGTCTCTGGTATTTAATCTTCCATTCAGAGTAAGCCAAGCCATGAAAGCGTGTCTTGGGATGTGGTTGGTAAACCATATAGAATGGGACCATGAAATGATGGATGGATGGTGGAATGAGAGCATGGTAGGTGTGCTTGAGATTGAAAGCACCAGTGTTAGATAGTGTCCAAATGGGCTGATCACAACCATTTGGTTGTATACAAGGTGTTTGCTCATTGTTCCCAATGGTGGGGACGATCTCTCTGAAGGAAGTGGGCAGTCTCCATTGAGAATTTCTGATTAAGGAGCAGACCTTAGATTCATCATTCCACATTGTGTTTCATTTATTCTCGCAATGGTGTTGAACTTAGAATGTGATTCTTCTCTTTGTAAACGATTTACAATATAACCTACAACACCAGCCTCTGTGGGCCTGTGGCACATCATTTTTTTGATAATATGCATTTCCTTTTCTTTTATAATTGCACCACTCTATATGGTTGCAAATAATATCAAAATTTGTGTCTGTTTTTAGTGTGCCCCTCCTTAACACCCTCTATGGTGATGACCCCTTTTTTTTTTCCTGAACTATGGGGTTTTGCAACTAATCCCCAAAAATCCCCCTGAACTTTCAATTTGTTGCAATTTGCCCACTCATGCCACCGGAAAAGAAAAAGACGATGCTGCCCTTCCTAAATTGACTTATTTACACATACACATATGTATGCACTGTTCAAACACGTGTTTTTTTGTTATCCAAAGTCCAACATCTGTTGGCGACGGCGACGACAAATCAGAAGGGAACAACGACTACAGAAGTCGCAATTCCGGCGCAAATCGAAAACTGGCACAGCGGCGACGGATCCGGCGTTGGAGACGGCGGCTTGTGCACGCCGGCGATTGACAGAAAAGCAGGCAATATGGGTTGTGGATGAACTTCTGAGTTTCATCAATTTCGTCCTCCAACCCTTGATTCTCGCCCTAGATTCCACCGCTGCTAGTCGTCGGAGCCCAATCTGTGGCTCAGTGACGGCGAGGATACGACCAAGATTGCTGGCAAAAATGGTGGTCGAGTGGACGGATCTCGCTGCTGAGCAACCTCATCGCCTGAATTACGCCATATCCTCGCCGCCTCATGGTTTCCCCTGCCCCTCATTCACAGACCACTCACGAACCCATTCACAGACTTTAACCCAAAAAAAAAAAAAACCCAGATCATTTCCGTACGATCTTAAATTCCTATATATATATATATATATATAATGATAAAATACTGTTCATCTAGTCTATCATCCACACTTTTCCAGACTTCTTTGTAAAGCTCTCACCATTGGAGGCACAAAATCTCTAATCTCTCTCTGGCATCGTCACCATAATTCCAAAAAAAATTCGGCAACTACAAACCACACAGATCCCTGGAGTTTTTGAGGTAAAAAAATTGATGGACAGTGCTTTGTTGTTGAAGTTCAATTTTGGGTCAAATCTGATATTCAATTTCATTGGTATGAGATTTTGGCCGGAGAGGTATAGCTTCATCAATCGCAGACTTGGTCCCGTGCCGACGAGGTGGGAAGGATAGTGCTTTTTGGGAAAGGACTTTTAAGCTAAGTTAATTACTCGAATCTTTGAACCCTAAATCAATTAATTTTGATTTTATAAAAATTTAATCATGAAAATGGTTTTCAAGGTGGACTCTTTTTCCTTCTTGTTGCTGTTATTGAGCTTTAGTCAAGCTTCAGTCTTGATACATGATGATAGTTTTCCTCTCCCAAAGCCATCAAGATTAATAACACCAAATACGGTGGTGAGCTCGGCGGGACTGAACTGGTGAAATAGTGTCCGGCGAGACGTGGGTTGAACGGATGGCAAGGACAACACAACAGGAAGCTTCGAGGACGATGATGGCTTCACAGAGAGCATGGACTGAAGAATCATACGCCGGCGAGGATGATGGAAATTAAGGGCATTTTAGTCCTTTCATGCATCCAAGGGTAGTATTGTATCTTAAAATAAGTCGACTATTTTTAGCGGTTATATGGTTTCTTGCATTTTGAAAAGTTCACGGAATTAATTGTAAGTTTCGTTATAACCCTTATTTATTTATTTTTATATACTTTTCCACAAATATCTCCAGGAACCACTCCCTTATTGGCAAATGCTGGTGTCTTAACAAATATTTTGTATATGTGTGTGTAAAATGTGCAGTGATTGTTGTTGGTTCAAGAACAAAATATCCAAACAAGCCGAAAAGGCATAATTAGACCAAGCCCAAAGGCTCAAACAACCGACCTCCTCTTTAGGGAGACGGACTTGTACCAGCTGAGCCCATTTGGTGAGTCCTAAATCAATCTCAGAACATTGTTGCTGGTTGAAAGTTAGATTACGAATCCGGTGGTTGTCGACAATGGAGGCAGAGCGTCATCTTTTAGCATAAGTAACCATATTAGTTTACGAACGTTAGAATACTTGCATGTGGTACTCCAATAAATAAACAGTCATTGAAACTATTTAATCTCTATTTGCTTCATTATAGTTTCAAGAGAAATAATGATTAGACTGGGATACCATATTAAGTACCCTAGGTATTATAAATAATTAAATATTATGGTTATACAAAAGGTCATTGGTTCTACTGAAGTGATGTAAGAAAGAGGCTCATTTCTTTACTCAATAATGGAGACAGATATTTAATCTTTTAACATTATCAAGGATACACAAAATTCAGTTATACAATTTATGTTGTATAACGAATTGGCGTTAAAAAAATAATAATAATAACGAATTTAGTATTTCTGAACCATACTTTAGTTGACAATTTTAGAAATGTTTAGACCTCAATTTTGTATTCCTGACCCTTAAGTATCCAAAGTGGATTATCAAATGAAGCAACTCAAATTGTTGGATTTAAAAGTAAAGTTTTCATTTATATTTATTTTATTGGTCTTGTAATTGAGTGGATCATCGTAAATTCAACATACCCTTAAATGTCATTTATGTATTTTTAATGTAAAACTTTATATGCCACAAATGACAAGTCTCCATAAAAAAAAAGTGAATTTTTAATGTAACTAATGTCCACTCTCCCAGTACTTGTTATTCATCTTATGGATGATCATACTAATATAGGAGTGACGTGTGATTTTTTTATACTACGTATTTATTTTATACACAATTTAATATTAATTATCTTCCAAACCTTTAACTTTAAATAATTCAGTGCTATATTTTTCTTTTTCTTTTTTTTTTTTTTTTTGGATAAAATTCTCAATTTCCAATGTCCATGTATTTTTGTCACATGCTTTTGGCAAAAGTCCACCCGTTTGTATTTATATATAAGAAAAGTGCAGTAAAGTATACACTCTTTCCATTCTACACTTTATGTAAAGTATACAGTCACATCAACAACTTTATATAAAGTGTACAACCACATCAGCAATTAGTTATACACTTATTTTGGTGATTCCAAGTTCTTGTTGTGCACTCATTTTTTCGTTCTATATTTTATTATATTATTATTTTTAAAATAATACTAATGGCTATAATTGTTTGCTCTGATTATATATCTAGATACAAGATTTAAAAAAATAATAATATAATAATATATAATCAGAGCAAACAAAATAAATCTTGTATCTTGTATCTAAATATATATATATATATATAAGTGCATTACATAGCTTCCTACAAATAAAATAAAACAATACAACTCAGGAAAAAGAAAAATACATTAATACTTCCACACATGAAAAAAAAATAGAAATTGTAAATGGACATCGACGTACAATGGGGTATTACTTATATGATGGTATTTATTCCAAGTGAGCAACTTTGATTCAGACCATCCCACACCCAACAACTGGCAAAGAAAAATTGTTTGCTAAAAAACAAGAAGCTGTTAAGAAAGATGTTGAATGAGCGTTTGGCGTGTTGCAGATCAGGTGGGCTATAACGCAAGGACCTGTGTATTATTGGGATAAACAACATAATGAGAACGTGCATCATATTACATAATACGATCATTGAAGATGAGTGCGGACACATTTTGCAATGGACACCTCCGCCGGATGAGCCAATATCCCTCCCACAATACATTCGAAACCCAACAATGTTGGCGGCACACATTTCCGGTCGTCTTAGAAGAATTCGTAATAGAACAAATAATGCTGATCTCAGGAGACATCTGATGGAACATTTGTGGAATCAATTTTGTGATAAAGATGTTTAAATTTGGTATAATTGAATAAAATGTAATTTTTATATTATTACGCGAATTAATTAAATCAGTACGTGATGAAGATGTTTAAATTTATTAATCGAATAAAATGTTCTTTTTTATAT